CGCGCCGCCGCCCGCGCTGCGCCGACTGCTGCGCCGCTTGCGCCCCCCGCGCTTGCCGCTCGGCTGCTGCTGCCGGTCAGGCTCCTCCTCGCTGTTGCTCAGACTGTCGTCGGCCGGCGAGGCTGGCGAACTAGACACGTCCTGCATCATCTCTCGGGCGGCGACGTGCGGCCTCGCGGGCCCGGGGCAGAAGGGCGGCCCGGGAAGAGGAGGAGAGCGGGCCGCTTCAGCCCGCCAGCTTCCCCCGCGTGCGGCGCCGGCCCGGGCGGTGCGGCCCGCCGAGGAAGGAGCGGGAGGAGGGACGGGGAGAACCTCGGCGGGGCGGGCGCGCGGGGGAGGCGGGGAGGGAGGCGGGAGGGGGAGGGGACGGTGTGGATGGCCTCGAGGTCCAAAAAGAAGGCGCCCAACGGCCGCACGCACACCCCCGCTAGGCCGCCTGGAAACGCAGTCGATGCCGGCGAGCCCGCGAGGTGTCTGGGAGTTGGACGAGAGCGGCAGTTTTGGAGGCTCTTATACCTCCGTGCAGGCGGAAAATTTGGGGGCAGCAGTGTCATTGGCCTGACGTGGGGAGGAGGGACTTTTCGAAGTTTTATAGGAAAGTTTCCGCTTTCCAGCCCCCCTCCCCGCCCTCATCCCCTTCCTCGGGGTCTAACAATTCGTCCTCCCAAACCATTCAAAATCGACCTGGCCTCTCAGCCCGCCTCCTTGCTTCCCTCCCCTTTCCCTCGCGCCACCCTCCTCCCGCGGGTGCGGGGCGGTTTCCTTCCGAGCCGAGCGCGTGGGCGGCGCCCCCCGCACCCGGGCGCAACCAGCGAAGCGGCCGCAGGGCACCATCCGGGCTGTGCTGGCGGCCCCGCCCGGAGCGGCTGTGACAGCAGCTGCGACGGCAGCTTCTCAGTGGGTGATATATCGCCCTGTTGTTAGGTGCTGTGTAGTCGGTTTGGACTCTTAGACCCCTTGTACAACAGAAGGAACCCCTGCGCCATCCTCGCAGTCTGCCGGTTTCTCCCATTGCTGCAACCACTGTATCAGTCTTTTTCTTTAATGGTCTTTCTCTTTCTCTTTGATCCTGTATTTTATCAAGTAGGATGATGTCTCTCTTCAGTGACTGATCCCTCCTAATGACATATCCAAAGTACAAGAAATGAAGTCTGGCTATCCTTTCTTCTAAGGAGCAGTCTGGCTGTACGTCTTCCAAGATAGAGTTTGTTTTTTCTGGCGATCCCTGTATTCAATATTCTTCCCCACACCATACTAGCAATTCAAAGGCACCAATTCTTCTGAGATCTTCCTTATTGATTATTCGGTTTTTGCAAGCATATAAGGTGAATGAAAATACCATGACTTAGGGCTGGGCACACTTCAGTCCTCAAAGTGGCATCTTTGGTTTTTGACACTTGAAAGAGGTCCTTTGCAAAAGATTTGCCCAATGCAATAGGTTGTTTGATTTCTTGACTGCTGATTCTATGGGCGTTGATTGTCTATCTACTTAAAATGAAATCCTTGACAACTTCAATATTTTCTCTGTTTATCATCATGTAGCTAATTGGTCCAGTTGTGACGATTTTCATTTTCTCTATGTTGCGGTGTAGTTTATACTGAAGACTGTATTTTAAAATCCTCATCGGTAAGAGCTCAGAGGCTTATTCATGTAAGGTATGGCAAATACAGCACGCGCCCTGGGACCCACTTGAAAGGGGGCGCCACTTAGCAGTTTCTATTAACCTAGTAGGACAAACATCCTTCCTCAAACTCATAGACACATAGAAGTGTGGGAGAAGGGGCAAAGGGAGGGCACTTGCCCCTTGTGCAAGTCTAAGGATAACAGTCAGAGGTGATGTAACTATGAAAGGTACCTGACTAAGGCAGCTGTACAAAACTGGGCAAGAAGTACAGGCGTAAACATCCATTACTGCTATAAGCATCTATTCATCTTAAACTGGGAGGCACACTTTAGAGAACTGGGTGTTCATTACCCACTATATCCCTGAGAGACACAGCTGGAGTGCTTGCCACAGGGGCTATTTTCTGTAGATATTTCTCCTACAGAAATGCTTCCAGTCCCTTTTACTTACAAGGTTGCATCACCTGCATATCGTAGGTTACTAATGCATTTGCCCAAGTTCCCTCTAGCTCTATATCACCAGACCGGAAATTACTGGGGTGGGAAAAGTGGTAAGAAAACTGGCAACTAGGGAGTCCACCCTGGGTGGGTTCTGGGCCCTGGAGTCTCAAGAGACAAATCTTGAAGTTGTGGGCATTCTGAAGACCTGCACTGCTGCAGGGGCTCTGGATTTCTGGATCTGCTCCCAGGCCTGCTCTCTCACCCCTCTCAGAGACAACTCTGGGTCTTGATTTTCTTTCTACAATCACAGAACCTAAAGCCAGCCAACACCTGAAGGGTGTATCCCTGACTGTGCTAGAAAGAGACAAAAGTTCATTCTTCTGCCAAAGGCAGTTCTTGCCTTAGAAGAGAGCAGCGCTGAATGGGAGCAGCTTAGACACGGGACTCACCTGAAGTGCCAGGAGAACCTGTGGCTTTTTCACCACCATCAGCACCCCCAAATAAGGCCCTGGCCAGTCACCTCTGAAGGCCAGCTCTTAAAGAGTTAAAGTGGGTCTTCAACCGCACCTTCAAAGGCTGTCGACTTTGAGAGATCCCTTTACTCCTCCTTAGGAAATCAAGTGGGCAATTATGCAATAGGCGCCCAAATACACCCCAAGTACTTGGACAATTGCATTTTAAGCATGTCTCGGACTCCCTGTACAGGGTCGCTATGAGTCGGAACCGACTCCACGTCACATAACCACCACCTAATAAATTAAATCAAAGAGTGGTAAGTGCTAAGCAGATTCCGGGAAATTGGGATCACCAGTAGGAATGAAGTTGGTGAGCGGGGAAGGGGGAAGGGAAATCCTCTGAATGTATGAGAAAGCCCATTCACGCAATGCTATTTTACTTTTTCTTGGAAGGATTTGGAGTAATAGCCATTTCATGTTCATCCTTTAGGTTGCAAAGCAAATCTGAGGCCATAGTCAGTGTTCCAATGCAGACCTGGGGACTCTTGAGGTCCCGCCAACTACCAATAGGCCTGTGTCCTCCTGCAAGCTCTCCAGTCGGAACTGGCCCAGCTAAAATCCTTAACTCAGGGAAGCGCTCCTTTCTGAGCAGGACCCGGTGTCGCATATCTTGTGGCGGAGATTAGAACGCAGGGACCGTGTGGCAGGCCACGTGGTGTTAGGGCTCAGCATTCTCGGGGAAAGGAGGGCAAGAGGTCTCCCTGCCATGACGGACAAACAAGTCGTGAAGGGGCCGACCTTCAGGTTCTCTCTCTCTCTTAACATTTTTGCAAAAATGTTCAGAAACAATAACCACAGTTTACTGACTGGACTGCTTCGGGAGCTGCTGGCATCTATTAAAATGACAGTTTATTTGAAAATGAGATTGTACCTGACCTCCACTTAATTCCACCAGCACACGTACAGATCTCCTGAAAACAAAGCCAACTCTGATAAATTTCCCCTGGTGTTTGCATCTTCCGCCCACGGGACTTTATCTCTTGGAAGAGATTAGAGAATAAAGCAACTGAACTTCTGTCTCACTCTTGACCTCATGCTCACTTCTGTAAGTCTGAATGGCAAGAGTATTCAGCAGTTCATTTCCAGGGTGGCTGAAGAAATCTTAGAAATTTCCACTTTATGCTATTTTTGTTTTGTTTTGTAAGTTAGATCAATCACAAAAGTTGTTTTTCCTTTTCCCTGAGTTTTCAAAAGTAAATAAAAAGATCGAATAATTGGAACCTTTCCTTTGTGGCTATGGGTAAGCAAGACAGGAAAGTGTGGGAAGTGTGGGCAAAGTGTAAAAGAAACCTTACCTGACCAAAGGGAATTGGGGAAGGGCGGGCAAACTGGAGGAAAAATCGAGTGTACAACAGCGCAGCAGCCAGGGGTCATTAGCTAGCTTGACTTGCAAAGCCATCAATCTCCCAAGACTACTTAAAAAAGGGAGCCCAGCCCTGCTCCAGGCACTGAACTTCTAGGAGACGAGGAGCTCAAGACCATTGGGTACAGGGACCTCACCATGACTGAGGAGATACTCCAGATACGAAGGCACTTAGAAAAGAGTTTAAATGAATGATCTAACTAAAACATTTCCAACTAAGGATACTTTCAGATGGGTAACAATTTCTTTGTAAGAAGAAATTTCTTTTCCACCAGATTTTGGGTTATCTTCCTAAGTGAGACTTCAATGATTTTTTGAGCAAAGTTTGTATCTTGACAAGACAGTTACCTTTCAAAATGGATAGAGCTGAATATTCCCTAGAGAATGTGGTCAGAGTCTGCTCATCCAGAACTGTATACTGTACCTTGCATTTTTTCTAGCAATTTTTCTTATTCACATTTTCTGGGGTAAGAATAAAGGTGGGCTTCTAATTTTTTTTCTTTAAATGCTGACAAGTCTAATATAATTTGGATGCTCACATTTGTAATGATAATATTCAATTTAAAATTGAAAAACTCATTTCCATATAAAATCCTAATTTCAGACTCTTAAAAACAGTGATTGATAATTTTTTCAGAGATGGGGGACATATGACTTAAAGGACTACCTACCAGTGCCGGACTGTCTTGTTTTGTTGACATCTCAAATACAGCCCCCCAATACTTTTAACTAAAAACAATTTTTTTGTGTGTTTTTTCTTTCTTCTTTTTTCATGTGGATAATTCAAAATGAGCTTTGTTTTCAAACTGCAAACTTGGCTTGTATGCAATCCTTCTTGAGATATGTGTGCTGTTAAAACTTAGGGGGAAAAATACAGTTAGAAGTAACAGAAACCTCATACTGAGCATATGCAATAGTTAGGTGTCAGTATCCTGGCAGCTTGAATGTGCACGGGTTTCTCTTATCAACAATTAACTATAGGTCTTTTTAGATAAGGAAAATAACTAAATTCACCACAGGATTTTTGGCAAACTGGTAGATCTTCGAATTTGAATTTGCACAAAAGGTAAATAATTGAGACTGTTACTACACTCTTGTTTTTCCTCTGAGTGTGGCTGCCTACCACTTGTTTGTTGACTCTGAGTTCTGTGAAATAATTTCCCCAGATGGCATGGCTGAAACACAGAAGAAAGCTCAGCGTTCACTC